TTATTCTATATGAATTCTCCATCTTCAGCTTGATTTTACTTTCCAATCTTTATTCTGCTGTTTTATTCAAATGGGGCACCAAAAGACAGCAGCCTAAACCGGGGCACGAAAGTGCATGGTTAATGGTTGTAAAAACTGAAAACTGAACTGAAAGCACGAGTTTTTCGTTCACGCTCCCTCGTTGGATTTACGTCCCACTGCCTTGTGGGTCAGACTTTCGAGCCGAAGGCTCTGGGTTGGGTTCCCAAGTGTAAACCCCTTCGTCAGTGTGGGCTACCGCGAAGTATGTCGTGCCCTAAAGTCTTAGGCACCAATGGGGAAGTCTCTTTTTCATCTGTTTAGTTCTTCCTCTCAATCCTGATCACTCCCAAATGCCTCCTGTTTACACCACCCATCGGATATCACTCCGAGTTTTATCACTAGCGCTAATCAATCAGAAGGTACACTCAATCTATGCCGCACCCCTCGGGAATTCGAAAAAGTGAGTTAATTCCGGGAACTGTGACAGCAGGTTAGTCAGTTGTAGATACTATTAGTTAGTATGAAAAATCGATTGGGAGTTTTGTGAGAAAATAAACCGGAGTGATGAAAAGTACATCAATTCCGTTCCCTATTAACAATGTTTTTAATTATGTACTGTTTGTTTATTACGGGATTTCAATATACCTTCATACTCATCCTTTTTACATCGAAGACATTGATTTTTGTATGGATTCCCGCTGCCTAATATCAGTACATTGCATCCAGTATTCCGCTCTTTTTCGGTTTCAAGCTTCTGGTTATCCCGAACCTACTTGCCTTTCTTCAGAGAAATCTTTTCTAATCAAATTACAATAAAAAATAATTCCAAATATTCCTCCATTCCTTTGATATGTTAGGCTCATCACAGAATTGAGTATATAGCATCCACCTTAATATATAACTGTTTTAGTCATAGTAATCACAACATCAATATTAACCCATTTGATAAAAAAAAGAATGAACCACGTCGAACACAGTGAGAACACTGGACAAAAAATCGCATTAGAAGGAATTCACGTCATCCAAAATAAATGAAATATCCATTACAGGGTAATCAGAATGTATAGGATTTTTGAAGCCAAAATTCCCTTTTCACCCATCATTGCAGATTGATCTTTGCAGTCATAGGCTCAATTCATGATTTGTTTATGAATGCTCTGTAGTTTCACTAGATCCTACCTTTTTCTCTTGAGAGGATAACATTGAATTCAATGTTTCTAATTGCAAAGTCCTATCCGTGACGGGAGTAGATTCTCTTACTTCCTCGGAAATCACCAACTACCACACCTCAAGTGAGTAGTAGTTTAGTATAGTTGTGCAAGTGGACTTGAGCTGGATCAATTTCACCACAGCTTCGTCCTCTGTTGTGAAGTATCTCGGCTTGCTTAGGCGAGTGTTTGGTCAGTGTTGTTCCCACGTTTGCCATACACCGAGTATGACTTCCAAGCTTGGAGTTCATGGTTGCAACGTGAGTGTGAGATGATGAAGCGTCCACAAAAGATTGACACTAAGATGGTCGAGGGATTAAACTACTTCACCTTTCACGATAGATGACTATCATTGGGACTATATTCTGTTCAGTACCACCGAATTCAAGAATACTACAGAACTGAAACCATCCATGTCGACCACGCTCTTCCGTCTCATGTCGTTTGTGCACCAACCGTTGAATCTTTCCAACAGAGAATTGATGAAGCTCCGGCACACCACGCATCCCTAGACAACTAAAAAAAACGCAAATTTGTTGAAGACTACATTATCTGTTACCTCCTCCCCGAACTCGGTGACACTATCATTTTTTTACCTTGAAACGAATCAGCTGTGTAGACATCCTATAGGACCAAGAGAACCATGAGCTTGTAAGTAGTTCCCATAATACAACTTTGACTTTGACGAGGAATAATGTTGATAAACCAGTGATTCGTAGAGTACAGAAAGTTGTCCGCTTTTGACCACTTCTCTTGGTCTTTTTTTAGTCTGGGTCCATCGAACACTAAACGATCCGGGCGATATTGGGAAATTTCATTGTTTGTCTGTTTCGCTCGCGTCCGATATTAGTCCTACGGTGGTGAACGCTGCAACAATCAGCACAGAAGAGGAAGTGGATGAGATCACCCTCACGAATCGATCCACTTATGGGAAACAAGTGTTTGTTCCCGCTCCGATCCGTGCTGCTTTTGAAACGAGCAACAGACGTGCCCGGAACACCAGCCCATCGTCACCACAGCTAACATTGAACAAGAAGCTGCGTGATTCATCTCCCGTGGTCGATTCAGAGGCTGTTAGTACAGGTTGGTTGTCGTTTGTGTGGTTCCCATCATGTGTTCATTTCATTCCAAGCAATTTCCCTACCCTCGCGATTCACTATGACCAATTCACCAAACATGTGCTCTCGACTTGAGAAATGCTAAATGTTTAGGCTAGTGGGTCAGACAACTGTTTCAGTTTCAGTTTTCCCAACCATTACCCTGCACTTGTACCCCGGTTTTGGTTGGCTTCCCATTGGGATGAAGGAGTTAAGGGAAGATTGGAACGTTCAAATCAGTGTCAGAGTGAAAAGAGAGAATTTATGGAGGCTAAAATTGCAGGGATGAGTAGATGCATTAGCGCCACTGTTTACGACACTCAATGTCTTTAGCCATTGATTACGCTGATCCCAATGTCCCCATCCTGGAAGCCTTACGTGACCTATGCAAACAAGTCTCATGGTCAGGGTTTTCATGCTGATGCCCGGTCCAAGTTCAACCATCCGTGGCTTTTTCCATCCAGCTCCTGGTTCAGCAGAATACGCTCCGTGGCAATTTATTTGGCGTCATGCGCAACACGTACCCCAACCAATGCAGTCTATGGAGGTCGACCACTTACTCCAGTGGACGAGCGCGAATATCTAAAACTCTGCGCCTCACCTTAGCATTGCTTATCCGGTTTCCCTACCAAACTCATGCAATGCGACGTGGACAGTAGTTTTCGAACACCGACAACCTATCTTTATCCTATTCGTATTTGTATTTCACGTACGTCTGTACGCAGCATCCCAGTGCGCTTCGTCGACGGAACAAAAACGTGTAGCAGCACTATTAAGACCGATCGACATGAATAATCTGGGTTAGGAACTGTCTACGGTTGCCACCAACTGATCCGGGTTTGGATATATCATTTTGCCGATCCACCTTCTGAGACAATGTTCTCCAGAATGCTTTGCCCGTTTAGCAAATGATGCAGTCGAACTCCTCCCACTGGCCAGAGTGCTTAACTTAGAATGCGCCCGTGTCATGGCCTTGATGGGTGACAACATACAGGCAGTCCAAAATACTTTAAACCGCTTGGCGATAGAGGTATCCACATATGGTATGTGCTTTGCACCGTCGAAATGCAAAGAGCTTGTTCAAAAGTGGTCGGAGCCTGTGCCTTCACTCACACTGTGCGGTGCTCATCTGGAAGTAGTTGAGAGCTTTAGGTATCTCGGGAGCTTAGTCAGAGCTAGATCTGGGATTGTAGAGGAGATCATATCACG